TTATTTTTAGTGGTGCACCCTTAAGTGGATGGACTATGATGCTCCCAACACAAAGTCACTCAGATGCATAAGTGCACCAGTCTTTAACTTTAGAAAATGGGCACAAAACCTATAAAGAAAAACTGCAGCTTTCAAGTCAAGTCACATGATTTGCGTTTACATGGAACACTTTCTATGAAATATTGTTTGATATTTGGAATCTTGGGTATATTTGTAATCAAATGAAGACTAAAAAAAAGATTTCTCTTTCATTCTCATAATTAATCCTCTGCCAAAGTTAAAGACTATTCTTATTAAGATCATTAATATTGTGTAGTAGAAATACAGTACATGTGTAAAAACCTACAAGAAAACTGAAACTTTAATCTGATGTTACGTGACCCCCGATGACGTCACTGTGACGATTTAAATTTGGCAGCCCCTTGGGTTGATGGATTACATACATGCATGCTCCCAATACAAAGCAGAGTCCACACAGTACATGGAGTATCCGGTTCGTAAGTGTGACGTCACTTCAGTTTAAACCACGCCCACTGCACATGTGCACTGCACATAGGGTTACATGCATTGATCGCTGTTAACTTGTTTACATAGAACCATGGAACTGGCAATTAATGCGCGACATCAGCGACTATCCAATGAGAGCCTGCAAATTGTGGCGCATCCCCCTTTGCGAAGAAGTCACTTACGAACCGGATAAGTCTGAACTTGAGGTTTTGTCGGTCTTACGGACAGAACAAAAGGCTTTTTCCCATTTTTATTTTTTAAAAAGAATAAAAATTTGTAAACTTTAGAATTGATATCATAGAAGTTTCAGCTAATGACATCATTATCACATTTAATCTATAAAGCCTCCCTTTCTACCAATATCTATACTTGTGATTCCCTCCAACATGTACAGTACATGTACGTGCTTCAGAAGATGAAGTCAATTACATGTATAGTATGCACCATTTGTGTCACATGACTTGTCATCATGACGTCATCATACAATACATACGTTACATACAATGTAAGGGCAACATTTGTCTAAAGTCCTCCCCTTTCAAAATATCTGCAAGGTGTTTGACCCCAGTCAGGCATGTACTTCACGAGATACAGTGCTAAAGAGTGTACCTTTATTGTCATGTGACTTGTCATATGATGACATCATCATCACATCAGGTCAATGTTCATCTTAAAAGCCCTCCCCTTTCAATACACATGCAACTGCAAGGTTTGAACCCAAATGGACATGTACGGTGCTTCACAAGATATTGTGCTGTGAAAAGTGCACCTTTGATGTCATGTGATTTACCAGTACCCCTTGATGACGTCATCATCACATCAGGTCAGTATTTGTCTGAAGTACTCCTTTTTTGAAGATACACTGTATCTGCAAGATTTTAACCCAATCAGACATGTACTTCATGAGATATAGTGCTTTGAAGAGTGCACATTCATTAAATTATGTCAGGTTATTTGTCACCTCTTGATGTCATTACTATGGAAGTAAGATCAATGATCGTCTTGAACATATTCCTCCCTAGCTACATGTACATGTACCTGCAAGGTTTCAACCAATTGGATATGTTCTCCTTGATGAGAGAGGTTTTGAAATCAAGTTCTCTGGTGCAAATACTTTGACGTAAAACTTTAAATGAATTCAACTCCATTTGATTTGCACTGGTAGCCAATGTCCACCAAACATACACAGTAGGCCAAATTATCCCCAAATTATCACTTTTATAAATCTGAAGGTGCTGGTTTGTATTTTTATGATTAAAGTCACTCTTTGAGAAGTTGTAAAAGAATTCTTTAGGTTAATTTAGTGAGTGCACAACAAACCCTGTACCTGCAGGTCCTATTAGATCTACATGTAGCTGAAACACAGGTACCATATCTCACTTGATTTCTAGTCACGTACCCTTCCAATAACACACTTTGTTCTTTTCTTCAGTGAATGGTTGGTCATTATGTACAAATTGGGGTTAGATAAGTTGGACCCATACCGGTACTCCAATAACTTATCTTTAATTTGGAAACCTTTATTAATACATTTATCACCAGGAGAAATTTTGAAGAATGTTGCATGTAATGGC